ATGTTCCACACTTCACGTGTGCTCCTGTTTGACAAATAATTTATTGAGATTGTGTATTCCTTTTATGGCTTTCACCCACAGCGAATCCTTCTCCATTTTTAACCGACACCACCACTTACAAACAGACTTGTGTTCAATGTATGAATGGTTCCCACATTGAGGTCGCCTTCTGATTTGGGGCCAACAACTTTGTCCCACAACACCTGATGAATTTTCTTTTTGTCTATGATTGGTTTCCTGTTTGTTTTTTTTTTTTAGATTCATATTTGCATCTACAGGGATAATTAATGGGAATGAGCCGCTTCGCACCTGAGAATGTTAGCCCGATTCTCAGTAATTTAATAAAAAATCATTATTTCATAGTTAATGTTCATGACATAATATTTCAACAAGATATATTTTTTAAAACCTAGTATATATAGATATTAGGTTATAACCCATAGAAACCACGATCAGTATGTTTAAAATTATTATATAGATAAAAAATAATAAATGTTCAAAAAATCAGAGTATTGTCGATTGTAAGTAATTCTGAATTAGTTTGTTAAAATAAACATAATACTTTATCATATATTTCGTAAATATTATTAGAATAAGATCTTTTATTTTAAAATTTTAAATTCAAGTTGATTTGTAACAAAAAAATGGGAGAAGTGGTAGAAATCATAGAAAAATATCATGTGTTAGAGAGACATTCTAAAAACTAATGTATGACATTTTTAGGTTTCATTTATTAAAATAGTAGGTGATAACTCATGTACTACACGATTGGTTGATATTAATAAAACATCATAGAGACTATAAGAATAACAATCATTAATCATTCAAAGAAATATTTTTTACATAATTTGTACATCTAATCATTTAAAGTATCTAACTTGATTAGGTTTTCGATAGTTGATTATTTATAGCATTTTGAAAACGAAATGTTGATTTTATGAGATTATATTATGATCTTTTGAGTCATATTTATTGTTGATTTATTGGGGACAAATTTAAAATTGAGAAGCAATAAAGTGACACATGACATGATTGTAATCAGGATGTGTATTAAAGTGGCATGGGAAAAGAAGATCAAGACTATTCATTTATTAGGATAATAGTTTATAACCCGTGGGAACCACGGTTACAAAATTAATAAAATTTTTATAGAAAAAACTACAAATTATTAATTCCCATGACTTTTCAGTTTATTTACAATAAAATTATAAATAAATTAAATAATGTACTATAAACAAGAAAGAGTGTTTTATTACAATATCTTTATCCCACATCGATGATGAGAGTAAACAAGAGAATGTTTTCTCTTCTATAAATAGAAAATATTGTGAAATGTTTCAAAGGGACCAAACCATGAAAACTTCTTTATGCCAACCTTTGTAGGATTTGAAAGTATTATTTGGTGAGATTGTCTTTATCGGCAAGTGTCCAGTTAAGTTTTAGAATCCCAAAAATAGTTTTGAACCAGATTTTTTCAGGTTCAAACCGTGTTTCAATATAAAAAAGTTATGTAGTTGGGTTTTAATCGAAGCTGAATCAATTTGGACCAATAAAGGAATCATTTTCCTTTCACCACATACATTTGAAACTCCTATGATTTTTCATATACTTTCTAATAATATTATAATTATAAATAAGTTATATAATGTTATATAAATATAAAAAAACATCTACCTAAACCTAAAATTATAATTGTTTGAAAAATCATTTTGATTCAAAAACACGAAATATATACAAACCGGGTTTCATTAGAAAAAAATTATGTAATTTGGTATATTGAGTTGAATCGGTCCGAGTTTGATCAATTTGGACCGATAAATGAAACATTTTCCTTTCACCACATACATTTGAAACCCCCATAATTTTTCAATTTGTTTCCAATGATATTATAAATAAGTTACATAATGTTATATAAATATAAAAAAACATCCACCTAAACATAAAATTATAATTGTTTGCAAAATCATTTTGATTCAAAAGCACAAAATATATACACAATTATATTTTATAAATAAATTCATTTTATAATGAACTTTTGAATCATGAAAATACATATAAACAAACTTTCTATATTAAGTACCTAACTGAATTTATGATTTTAGAATTTAACAAAAAATTATTCAATAAAAACTTACTTTTTTGGATAACAACTTATGAGATTATAGAAAAATGGAACTATTGAACAATAAAGAAAGGGTAAACAAGAGAAAGGGTGTTTTATTAAATAAGTTAAATAATGTTTTATAAACAATAAAGCGTGTTTTATTACAATGTCTTCATCCCACATCGATGGTGAAAGTAAATACGAGAACGTTTCCTCTTCTATAAATAGGAAAGATTATGAAATGTTTCAAAGGGACCAAACCATGAGAACTTCCTTATGCCTACCTTTTTAGGATGTTGAAGGTATTCTTTGATGAGATTGTCTTTATTGGCAACTGTCCAGTTAAGTTTTAGAATTCCGAAAATGGTTTTGAACAAGATTTTTTCAGGTTCAAACTGATTTTCAATTGAAAAACCGTTATGCAGTTGGGTATATTGATTGAATCGATCCGAGTTTGATCAATTTGGACCGATAAAGGAAACATTTTCCTTTCACCACATACATTTGAAACTACCATGATTTTTCAAATTTTTTGTAATAATATTATAAATAAGTTACCTAAACATAAAATTATAATTGTTTGAAAAATGAACTCGATTCAAAAACATGAAATATATACAAACCAGATTTCAGTAGAAAAAATGTTATTTAGTTTGATATATTAAGTTGAATCGGTCCGATTTAGATCAGTTTGGACCGATAAAGGAAACATTTTTCTTTCAACACATACATTTGAATCTCTCATGATTATTCAAAGTGTTTCTAATAATATTATAAATAAGTTACATAATGTTATATAAATAAAAAAATCTACCTAATCAAAAAATTATAATTGTTTGAAAAATCAATTTGATTCAAAAGCACGAAATATATAATCGATTATATTTTATAAATGAATTCATTTTATAATGACCTTTTGAATCATGAAAATACATATAAACAAACTTTCTATATTAAGTACCTAACTGAATTTATGATTTTAGGATTTAACAAAAAAGTTATTCAATAAAAACTTACTTTTTTGGATAGCAACTTACGAGATTACTGAAAAAAGGAACTATTGAACAATAAATTTTCTAGATAACATTTTATTTTTATTATTTAATATTTTATTTAACAAAATGAAATTATTGGCAAATAAAGAAAGGAGTTTAATTAAAATGTTTTCATCCCACATCGATGGTGAGAGTAAACAAGAGAATGTATTCTCCTCTATAAATAGGAAAGATTATGAAATATTTCAAAAGACTAAGCCATGGGATCCTCCTTGCGTCTACCTTTATAGGACATTGAGGGTATTCTTTGGTGAGATTGTCTTGGTTGACAAGTGATCAATTAAGTTTTAGAATTCCGAAAATGATTTTGGACTGAATTTTTTAGATTTGGATCGAGTTTGATTAATATCTGAGTATCTTTTGGCCGAGTTAGGCAAATTCTCTTCCATTGGAGGCTGAGTTTAAGTAACATGCCGAATATTTGGTTGTGTTAGCCAAGTTTTACAACCATGTATGTAATAGAATTTTAAGTTCTAACCTTATAAAAGATCTCGCTATTATCATATGTTCTACATAATTATAGTAATATTTATGATACAAAAAAATTTTAATTTACTATTTAAGATAAAAAGATGTCTCTATTATTATATGTTGTACATAATGATAATATTTAAAGATAGATAAAAAGATGTCTCTATAATCGTATGTTCTACATAATGATAATATTTAATATAAACGTTTTAATTTAATATGAAATTATTATTTAATAGATAACAATAATGATTTATTTATTTTTTAAAATTTATATTTTTTTTTCTATTTTAACAATATATGCACAACAACTTCAAGTTCCAACCTTATCTCTTATGATATAGTTCAACATAATGATAATATTAAAAATAATTTTTTTATATTTGTTATGAAATTATTATTTAATTGGTAATAACAATGATTTAGTTATTTTTAATATAAAATATTTTTTTTATCTTGCGCAACACGCAGACATTTGTCTAGTCTACTCTAATAAATGAAAGTTTTTTTTGTCACATGTCATACTCTTATTCAATTTGCCAAATGTCATTTTGTGATTATTTTGAATTAATTTTTTTCCACATGTCATTTTATGAGTTTTTCTATTTTAATAAATTCCACATAATACTTTAATATAATAATTACAATAAATATTTTAATAAATGAATATCAATTTCATTAATGAACTTACCTTCTTATTTCAAAAATTTTAAATTAAAGCTCATTAGTTTATTTTGTTTATTTATTTAAATTTAAAAGATAAAAAAAATAAATTTAATAATTCATTATTTTTCTTATTTTCTTATAAATTCAAAGTTTTTAAATATTTAGACCTTTATATTTAATTTTTTTAATTAACTCATTCAATACATGAGTTTTACATATAGTTTATTAGTATAGGAAGGTTATGATTAGGAAGAGGAAGATGATGATAGGTAGATTAGCCTAGTTTACTATACAAAGAAAGAAGTGTAATTTATGAGCTTTGTGATCTATATTAATTATGGGACGAAGGGCTCAATAAAGACAAGCAAATTACGCAATAAACCTAAAGTTGACAATTGATCCTCCTACCCTCGCTCTTTAGACTACAACATTTTATCAACGCCCACCGATCACCTTATTTGCTCCATATTTTATGAGTATATGTTTAAAAAGCAACCTGATATTTAGTGATTTATGATGTTTGGTTCATTTCTAATTCTGAAGAAATTATTTTTAAAATCAATATTTAGTGATTTATGATGTTTATAATCAAAGAAAGATAGCAATTATTAATTATTAATTTCGACTCATTTGTAGTCGAATCTATTGTTTGATTATAAATTTATAATATAGATTTTTATGGAAAATAGTTACGGAAGGTAATCATGGAAATATAAGGAAAATCATTATACCTTATAATTATACCAAACAACATTACATAAAACTAGCACTTATTTTTATTAACTAGAAAAAGGAAATTTATTATATAATTATTTGGATGTTGGCTTATTCATGGTGTAAATATAATCAAGATGAGCGGCAAGCGTTCTTCTCATCAAACACTCTTCTTCTCCTGGCCCTGAGCAATTCTCTTCGGTTTTAGCCTTTGCCACCTCTTCATCCTTCCATACATATATATACACATACAAAATGTCAATATCACATTAATTAATCACAAATAATCATCTAAATCAGAATAAATATTGTTTTAAAACATGCATTTTAAGTTTCTTTTACACGATATTTGTTTCTTACTACATCAATTATGGATGTTTTAAGAAATTGAGAAGAGATCAATGTTTTGACACGATGAATAATGATTGATGTGGGTAAGTTATATAAAAAACATTGACTTAATTAATTAATAATTACCGTGTGATGAGATTCCATGGGGGTAACATCTTTGAAGGTCGGAGTAGGGCGGGCAATGGTGTATGAGAGCATGGAAAGGAGGAGGATTGCTATCATGCAGAGGGTGGTGACTCTAATAGCCTTAGACATGTTTGATTTTTCTCTATGCTCTTGGGATGGGAAGAAGAAAGACTATGTGGAGTATGTATTTATAGATCTTGTCATGGCTGAAGAAGGGCAAATTAGGAATTTCTCTAGGCAAAATTTGAAGAAATAAAGGAGAAAAAAACATAGGATGGTTGGTGGGAGAGTCCCCTAAAGAAATGCTAAGCCTTTAATGGTTGAATGTAGTTTGAAGTCTTCTAGCTAGAAATGGACATTAATGAAACTTGGAAATAGGAGGTCAAACAAAATTAGACACACACTTGGCTCAAGCATGAGGACACACTACCACAATGGGTTACTAGTACAATACAACCACTTAGTGCGTACGCTACAACTTATTCATAAGTTTACCATATCAAACTATGTGCATAATAAACTAGTTATTTTTATTTGTATATAAATGTTTTTACAAAAATAGTTGTTAGCTTTTAAATATCTAAAATTACATAAAAACCAAAACCTAAAAGCTCAAAAAAAATTAATTGAAGCAGCTTTTAAATTAAACGGTTTTTGTTTAAAATAAATTCTAAAAACTCTTACTACTAAACAAATTCTTTTCTTATTTTACGAACTTTTTCTTAAACACACCATATAATATATATTATTGTGAAATGTACATACTGAATTTAAAAAAAGATAAAAGTATAATAATTAAATTTGAAACCATGTAGTTTCTTACTTTCTTCTACATCTAGTTCATATAATTAGTTTCTTAACTTTTAATATGAATATAAAATTTAATAGACTTACGTATATAAACTATAAAAATACGAACCACTAGCGTCGCAACTACTTAGAACTTAAGGGTGTGCATTAAGTAACCATACACAAAATAAGAACAGTCTCGATTTTTATTTTATTTTTGTTATTTTTGTTATTTTTTTTCTGGAAGTCGTGTTTGTACTTTTTACATTCATGAAATGATGTCAAAGGACAAATGTTTGATTCAAGGCGACCTAGTTTCTTAACTTGTTCAATTGTACAATAAAACATTTTTTTATAAGATTGAGATTGTTAGATTAAGAGAAAATATGGAAAACCCGTTATAGAGTTTGTGTGTATATTATTTATATATAAATACAAGTACAAGGATAGTCAATAGTATAAATTATCCTTTCAACTCTATATAAATGCATAAATTCAAACGATATATTATTAATTCAACATATGTTTATTTATTTATTTATTATTATTTTTTTATCATGACATCTTTTTGGTCAATTTATATTTATATTATTTAAACTTTCTGGATGAAAGTGATGGTGAAATATTGGTGGGGTTGGGTGATTTTTGCACGAAGAAAAGGAAAAACCAGTTGTGAATATTTTTTAAAATGGGAAGTTATTATTGTAGAAGATTGTTGGAGGTCAAAGAAAGCTACGGTCAGGATTGAATCATTTGTAGTTTGATATTTTTCCATAAATGGATAAGCATTTGTGGAAAGGGTCATCGGTTGCAAATGCAGTTGGGAATTCATCCATAACTCCTTTGTTAAATGCATTGAATTTGCTAGAAAGAAAGTATGCAAATGAAGCAACTTATCCCAACATATAAAGAAAAGCCTAAAATTTTGTTAGACCTGAGGATAAAAACTAAAAACTATTGGGACTTTTACTTGATGAAGGAAGTAAACTAATTAAAGGAAGTGGAATACAATGAAGTTTAATGATATTGTAAGGTGTCTTCGAGAATCGAGAAACCCTACTCACGATGGCAACCATTAACCTTTGAGGATCCATCGTTGACTTTGACAATGAAGTAGCTTTCTCGATTGATTCCGATTGATGACGGGAGATAAAAAGAGGCGATACATAGATTGGCAATGGATGTTTGGACGTTCGAAACATATGCACGAAGACAGTCATTTAATACGTGGTGATATTAAGAAGAACCCTAATATAACAAGTATGGAAAAGATGTCGACATACGTGTACGTTTCTAATTCCATATTGGTGGCTAATGTCAAGGAACTATGAAAGGTATGTGAACAATACTAGGTAGTATCGAACGTATACATTGCTCCGAAATTGTCAAGACTTGGGAAGACGTTCGTTTTCTTTAGCTTTTTAAGGGTGGAAGATTCGAATCGGTTGGTACAAAATCTGAGAACTATTTGGATATAAAATTTTCATTTGTTTGATTCACTTGCAAGGTTTAATAGTGACAATTCACGTAAGGAGAAAGATAATGGTAAAAAACCGAATCATGAACAACTTCCCATTAAACTGAAGTTGCATTCGGTTGTGGTTAAGCCCATGTATTATGCGTCGGCTTTGGCTAGATAAGGGGGAGATAAAAATGTGTCTGAGAAAGCAGTGGAGATTATTTTGGAACCTAAACAGTTGTTGATGGTACCAGATTTGTCATGGCAATTCTTGGATTTGTTCGTGACATTAATCTAATCAGTAATCTTCATAAGGTATGTTATAATTAGGGATTTAAGGATGTTGAAATTAGCTATACTAGGGGCATGTGGGTGTGGGTGGAATTTAAGTCCCGAAGTTCATGTACTAAATTAAAGCAATACGAAGATAATAAGTGATATTTAAAATATTAAAACCATTAATGAATTCGTTTGTGGTGGAAGAACGGATGGATTGACTTGAGGTGGATGGATTACCGTTGTGTACGTGGTCTCTGATGGTGTTTAAGAGGGTTGTAAGTATGTGAGGAGAGGTATTATTCATGGATGATGAAAATATTAGATGTGTAACATCCCAATGGCGAGGTACTTCTAATATTAACCCTATAATATATTTATGTTGCATTTTGGTCCTTAAGTTCAAGATTGTATGCAAAGGGGCCCTAGTGGTAATTTCGTAAATTTCGCCTTTAGGAGTACGTCATGCGTACATGTGTACGCTAAGCATACTAGGGCGCGCCCTAGTATGCAGGGCGTACATCAGTGTATGCGGGGCGTACTTGCCAGATATGGAAACCCTAATTTTTAGGGTTTGGCTTGTATTTAAGCACTCTTATGGCCTCACTTCCTTCTCCTCATCTGCCTCCATCCCTCTTATACGTGTTTGCAACCCTAGTTTCACCTTGAGAAGTCCTTTCCAAGCTTAGAGTGTGTATTTTGGTGCCTTAGAAGAAGAAGGAAGGAATAAAGCTCATCGCGAAGAAGTGAAGCACTTGGATCTGAGATTTCTACATCATTTGCAACCTTCCTAAGGTATAAAGCTTGCAACTTTATCCCTCTAACATATAGATCTAGATTTGGATGTCTTTATGAAGCTTTTTGGTCCCAAAATGTTAGATCTTGAGTTAAGCACTTATTGGAAATGCTAAGTCATAAAGTTGGAGACATTATGACCCCTTAGAGTATTTTAGCCATGGATCTGAATTAAGGACGTAAGAGCTTTAGCCATTAAGCTCTTAATGGACTTTTGGACTTTGGGGAGTATGCCCCGCGTACTCGGAGTACGCCTTGCGTACGAGGTCAACCATCCCAATGGTGGTCAACATGCGAGGACAGAGTACGCCCCGCGTACTCGCACTGGGTCAATTCGGTTGAGTTGACTCGGCTGGGTTGACTCAATTGACTTAGTTGGTTCGACAAGTTGACTTTGACTTTGACCAAGTTTGACCTTGAGGGTATTTTGGGATTTTGATGGATATTGGTCATTTGGTTGGAATAGGTGTTGGCAAGAGAACTGAGATTCGGAGTCGGGACCTCATCAACTTTGTCCAGTTTGCGAGGTGAGTTTTCCTCACTGTAATTACGGGTAGAAGGCACCACGGCCGGCCCATTGATTTGATATTCATTGATATGCTGACTGTGGAATAGATATGTATGATTATGCTAGTTATTGATATGCCAATCTGGTAGATTTGTAGGACTACCTGTGATTCTGTTTGCATGATTATTTGTATATGTTTATTATGTGGTATATGTCGACATATTGTGTTGGGTTGAGGTTGTATTGCTCCGTGCGGTAGCCAACAAACCCAAGAGCATTCTAGATACAAGCTGAGGGCCGGGTAGGGCATGCCAGACTCATACTGAGGGCTCATGAGCATTCCAGATACGAGCTGAGGACCGGGCGGGATGCCAGACTCGTACTGAGGGCTTGATAGTATTTTAGTCTGAGGAATGATCTGGTTAGGGAGCAAGCCAGACATAAGTTGTGGGCCCCGAGGGCAAGCCAGACTTATGCTGTGGGCTCAGGGGTAATCCAGTCTTTTAGATGTGGACCCATTTCATGTTGTTATTGTATATGTTATTTGGTTATGTGTTGGTATTCTAGGGGAAACTCACTAAGCATTGGCTTACAGTTTTGGGTTATGTTTCAGGTACTTCGGATGATCGCGGGAAGGCGAAGGCGTGATCGTACACATCCTTTGTTTATGATCTATGATTTTGGGGAAACTCTTATGTCGAAATTGTTTTGAAAACTATTTTGTAAACACTTTATGGTTTTTTGGTTGTAATTCAAAAGTTTAAATTTATCATGATTTTTATGAATGTTAAAAGTTGGTATCAGAGCCTTAGTTTGAGTGAATTGGAGGAACACTCGTGTGAATCCCGTCTCAAACTAAGGAAAAAGATTTTTTTTTTAAAAAAGAAAATAATAAATTTCAAATTGTTTTCAAAATAATCAAAGAGGATGCGATGTGTATGATTAGCCGGAGCCAGTAAGTAGACCCTAAATTACCACACTGTTATTTGATCTTATGATATGTTAGAACAACATGCTAGTGATAGGCTAGGGATCTTCAGGAGTTGCATGATAGAATTGCCTGATTATATGATGCCTGATAGCCTAGGGTTTTCCTTATATAAAATTGACATCATTACTGTAGTTGCTTAGTGTATAACATCATAGTTGTACATAATAAATATTCTATAGCATGAGAATGTTTGGTTTGGCCTTATTTCATGTTCTTGTTTGATGAAGGGCTTAGGGTAGAATCAGGTATTCGACTTTCTATAGGATCCAGTGTTATGTATGATTAGCATACACGAGTGCTGCGGGGTTGGTGGAAGTTTCATGGATGTGTTGTGTGGGGTCAGTTGGCCAATTTCATAATGATTAGCCTCCCTATAGGAAGTAAGGAT